AAAAAAAACAACACAACACGGAGAAGTCCATGGTTTCGTCAAGGGGCGAGATACTACCCGACTGTCCAAGCCGAAGTAAGGTGTTGACTTAGGAGACACCACCCCGAGCTGAATAGCATGCCCACAAGGCAGCGGAGCGAATAAAGGGAATTGCGTCCATTAGGAGCCGGTGATTGATTGTCCAGTTCATACGCCTTTCGTTTGTTCCTTTGCCAAAAACGGGCCCAATGCTCCTCACAATTTCAGCATTGAATTGCTGGAATACAATGCTTCGCCAGTATGAAGCAAGGTGCAGCGACTTTATTTCGTGACGAGTCACATCCGCCACGTCCCAGCGTTGTTAAACGGACATATATGGCTTTTTATAGGGAGATCGCTTGCCATGCAAAAACCCACCACGTCCTGGAATATTGCCGCCAAACGATTTGCTGGAACGAGGAAATCCCGAACCTCCCAGCTGGTAGAAACAGGAGGTTGTTCAGCAAGCCAGGCACCCATGGATGAGACGATAAAGGTTACAGTGGAATTAGAATTCAAAGGGCTACATTGCAGTTGCCACATGATATCATCTACAGGGACGGAAGGATGCTAAAATATATGACATAGCGCAAACCAGGAGACACGGATGGAGTACTGAGAACAGATGACTCGAAATATGTCTACGAGAACATTCTTTCACGGAGCTAGGACCCTGTGAACGGAGGTGGAACAGCCACCCAGAGATCTAGTAAAAAAATTAAGAAAATTAAGTGAAAGCAAACGACAGAGATGATTGGTGGAACGTCAGCTATAGAAAATTCTTCACCCGTGTCCAGAATCGATCATGGAATTAACAGAAATAGTTAGAATTCTGTATGAAGAGGGCACTTGGGGAGATAATCGCAGTGCTGCACAAAGGGCAGACCAGAGTCACTTTCCAAAGGGGTCATACGCTACGGTCGAAAATAGTAAATTTAAAGAGTTCTCTTCCTATATACATGTTATATATTGACATCTGTCTGTAGAAGCAGGCATTGAGCGATTCAAAGCCATGGAGTTAGGAATAAAGAAAAAGTAAGATGCACAACAATTGAAAAAAGAAGCCAAATGAGGAGATAGAAAGAATATCGAGATCTGTTGTCAATTGCACGCGTC